TCAACTCAGTGCAGCCAGGGATGTATATATGTGCTTAGTCACCACAGAAATAATTGCTAGTAATACCTGTCTCATCTGTTTACCATTTTACTTGATTTTCAGAAATACTATTTAGTAATGTTAATACCATCATAAAAATTATAAGGTCTATATCAATAGCAACACCATCGATAATGCTAACAATCATAAAAAAAAGGAAAGGAGAAATCAGGTGAGGTCACCAGCCCATACTAATTCACTCCTTGGTGGAGTCATCAAAGTTTGGAGACATTTCACAAAACGAAATTTCAGTGGACATCACATTTTCCCGGCAGCATTGAGTCAATAACATGGTCCTAATCCTAACCCTAATAGAGCAAATCCCTAACCAAATAGAGCAAACGTACCAGATTCTGTACATAAATATCCCTTTCCTCTAAATAACGACAGACACTGAACTATTAACTCTTAACACCTGTGAGTGAGAAGTTCTAATCCAGCAGAACGGAAGGATAATATAAATACAACAAGATTTCTACTTGGATAATTCATTTCATGGAGGAGATAGCAAAGGAAAATACCAGCTGTTATAATCTCAGTGGAAAGAATAAAATCTCTACCTTCAAAATATCAAAGCATATCAGTAAAGCTTGATTCTTCCAGTCGTGTTCAAGAAAAAGAGGAAGCAGAAAATAATAATAATAACTAGACAATTTATTTTTTTTCATTAGATAACATTTACCAAGTTTCTCCCATGAGTTTACCCAACCTGTGATTCTCGCAACTTAACTCTTATACTCTATGAAACCAAGAAAAATAGGTTTTCTTAAGTTCTTCCAACTGTGCAGATTAGTCTATAACCTTAAGTCTAATACCCCTTTTTTCCTCAAGAGATGCAGCAAGGATATTACACTGTCAGGCTTCAGGTTGAAAAATGGATTCCGAACATCAATATGAAGAGGCATAAATAAATCTTAAATAGCACAATTCCAAATAATCCCCTTTCTCAATATAAAAAAGACTAGTTCCTTTCTTGATGACTTATTATTCACAGTTTTAGATATTATGATCAACTTTTTCCCACAGGCTAGCAAATCTTGGCAACATACAGAGAATGATTAGTTTACAATCAGTCACTAAAATTCTTCTAATCTATTTTCATGTGACATCCTATAGAATAAATGTAATAAAAAAATGCTTACCAAAATAGTACTAGGTAATAGTAATAATCGCTAAGACTCTCCCAACTGCATGTCATTATTTTAGAAAAGTATATACATGTCCCATTCTTATTGTCCTCTCTCTCTCTCTCTCCTCTCTCTCTCTCTCTCTCCTCTCTCTCTCTCTCTCTCTCTCTCTCTCTCTCTCTCACTCTCACTCTCACTCTCACTCTCACTCTCACTCTCACTCTCTCACTCTCACTCTCACTCTCACTCTCACTCTCACTCTCACTCTCTCTCACTCTCTCACTCTCACTCTCACTCTCACTCTCACTCTCTCTACTCTCTCACTCTCTGTATACACACTAATGAGTTTGACAGATGGAAAAATCCGCATCCCTATTCCATTAGGGTCTGATGCTGAATAGTCTGAATAAAACCTAATTTACATAAAGCTACAAAGTGCATTTTACCAAAGCACTGGAAGATAAAGAAAGGGAGTGAGAGACCTTTGTGTAATCTAACAGACAGACAGGCAGAACTATCCATCTGTCAAACAATTCATTCTCTTTTTTCTCTCCTTTAAACTTCTCACATGCCAAAACACAAATATAAATAATCACAAACATAAACACACACACTTGTATCTACATCACAGAAACAATTTACACATTCGTTCATCAGCTTCTTGTTCCCACTCAGAAATCCCTTTAGAGTACAGAAAGAGGGTTCCCTTACTTCTACGGTAATTGAGTCCTTTGGCGGCTCCCCATCTTTGAGGGCATGGAGGTGCAGCCGCTCGTCGTGCACAGTGATTTTAGCACACCGGTGGCTTCCTCGTGCTCCTCCTTCCCTCCTTAGCACTGCCCAAACATGTGCACCATTTGCATTAGCCTTCTGGATGTCGCTGCGCAACTTCAGTACGTTGACACCCGATGCCTGAAAAGGGTGAAGATGGTAGGTAAATAAGGTGGAAGCATAGCAAAAGGAGAAAGATTTACAGTGGAAAGGAAAGATAAAGTGATGGCAAAAGAGAGAGAGAGAGAAAAAAAAATAAAGGATAGGCTATGGGGTGGAGAGATGAAAGGAAGGGAATGTGAGATTGAGAAAAGAGAAAAAGAAAATGTAAGGGATAGAAGAGATGAAAAGAGGGATGAGAAAGGAGAATGGAGAGACAAAGAAAAGGAGATGCAAAGGAGAGAAAAGATGATAGGAAGAAGATGGAAGGGAGCAGAAAGAGAGAGAGGAAAAATAAGTTGAGGCAAAAAAGGGAAAAGGTGAATAGAAAGAAATACACAAAAGAAAAAAGAAAAAAAACCTAGACATGATGAGGTGTCAGGGAGATGATAACAACTAAAACA